AGTGGCGACCGCCGTCTTTTGCTCGAAGCTTCGCACGCGCCCGTGCCCGTCGTAACCGCGCAGTGCGGTGCATCGTGCGGTGTCACAGCCCCTGTTTTGCTCCCGTTGGCCGCAGCCCGCTTTAAGGGGGCGGGTTCCACGTCGCCCCCCCTGTCCGCCACGACCGCCCTCTGCTCGGAACACGTCCTTCCCTCCCTTTTCACCTACTCCCTCCACGCACACCCACTAGCTAGCCTAGTTGTACCACTCTCGCCCACCACGTCCCCGTCTCATCCTCATCGTCACCACCACCACCACCACCACCACCACAAACAACCAACGGCCTCCCCCGACCGCAAAATAATACCAACACCGCCAGAGAGAGCCATGGACGCAATCGCACCCCACCTCCTCACGCGCCAGTCCTCCGTCGACTCCTCCGCAGACTCATCAAAGGACGACGACCACAACTCGCGCAAGCGGCGCAGGCCCAACGACCCCCCGCACGAGGCACCCCCGACCCCGGGGCCAGACGCCACCCCGGAGGAGCGCCGCGCCGCCCGCGCACAGAGGAACAGGATCGCCGCACAGAGCAGCCGCGACCGCCGCAAGGAGGAGCACCGCTACCTCCGCGACCGCATCGCCGAGCTCGAGCGGGAGAACCAGCTGCTCCGCGCGGGCCACTTCCTGCCCCACGCACTCACCAGCCCCGCGCCCTCCTCCGCCTCCCTCGACTCTCCGCCCACCGCCGGCCCAGCCGACCAGTGGAAGCGCGACATCTCCCTCGACTCTCCGCCCACCGCCGGCCCAGCCGACCAGTGGAAGCGCGACATCGAGAGCGAGAACCTGGAGCTCCGGTCAAAGGTCGCCAACCTCGAGCGCATGTTCGCCCTCATCGCACCCGCCGCCATGCACCCCCTCGCCTCCTCAAGTACTTCACCCCTCCCAGCCAGCGCAACCCCGGTCGCAGCACATACCCTTCAGAGCGTGCCCACTCGCCACCTAGCACGGGTGGCGACCGACTCCCTGGTGGAGTCGGCCCCGCAGCGGGTGGGCACCAATCCGCACTCTCCCCCCTTCCTCAGAACCCCCTCGCCCTCGACCGGGCACACGCAGACTGGCTCCTCTCCCTCCTCCACTCCGGCCACCCCCTCGCTGCCGCTCTCCCCGTCCCCGCCGCTCTCCCAGTCCTTTCTTCGCCTACGACGAAGACTGAGCCGGCCGCAGACGCGGTCCCGTCCTTCACGCCGATGCTCGCATCCCCGTTCAACCAAGGACAGGCCCTCCCGCTTCCGCCTACGGATAGCACAGCAGCACTGGCCGCGGCCCTCCGCACGGCCGCCCTGGAGCTGACCTTCCTCCCGACGCCCTCGACGTCCTCGTACGCCGGCTCCGAGCTGGACTTTACCGAGTTCGCCCTCGAGCCCGTGCAAGTCCCCGAGCCGTCCGCGGCGGACGCAGCGTCGACAGCCCTCGTGGAGGAGATGATGAGCAAGTACCTGAACGACATGGTCTCGGACCAGAGCTGGGCCTGGGAGGCGTGCGGGCACGACACGAGCGATGAGACCAAGGACGTGATGACCACCCCCCTTACCACCACCACCACCAATGGAGCGACAGAAGTAAACGTGTTCTGAGTACGGCATTTCCTTTTTCCATCTCCCGATCTCTCCATTTCTTGTTATCCGCCTGTGTCCCGTCTCCCTTCTCCATAGTAGACACCAGTGGTCGTCCCCGCCTTTCCTCCTCCCTGTCTTCCCGACGCATCTGTACCCCTCCTCCTCCCCTCCACCGCACCCCGCTTCCTTCCCTCACCCCGCCTCCTCTCCTCCCCCTACCAAACCCAGACCCAGACACCCCCACCCTCTACGCTACGCGATCAGCTGCCTCCCCCCGGGTCGCAGGCGGCAGATTGCGAGAAATAGGGTACGCTTTGTCTGGCGATGGGCTGAGGCGCGGGCTGGGGAGCGGGGCTGGGTGGGTGGGTGGGTGCTCCGTGTGCTGGTTGGTTGCGACGTTGGTTGCGAGGCTGGTGTATGAGCGCGGGTCTTAGGTAGTAATCGATTTGGTTGGGGACGTATATGCGCGTGTGTGGACAGCAAGTCGATTCCAGTCTGAACGCACGTCCGCCGAAGCGCAAGGTCCCGTGGTGGCACTCGAGCGCTGCTCAATATATGCAGTCGTTTGGGAGCATATCCGTGCGCCTCTGCCACAGTTCTTTCCCGATGAGCGAGCGCGGTGTCTATGGTGGTGGAAAGTACCAAAGCCGTTCCTGGCATCACTACTGACTGACTGACAGTATTCATGCCGTCTAAGGAGACGGGCACACGGCACCGCACCGTTGCCAGCGCTGGACTGTCCCTCCCTCCCGCGACCTCTGGATAAGCGCAACCGTGCAAGGAAGATGAAGGCGCTACGGCCCAACGCCAATGTGACGGTGTCCACCAGCAGTCCCAATACATGGCCAATCCAGTGCCTGCCCAGTACGGCGTCCCCCGCCCCAGACCCCACTCTCCAACCACAAGGACTCAAACCGCCCTCGCCAGCCTGTCCACATCCGCGCACCCCCCTGCGCCCCCGGCGCGAGCGCAGACGACGGTGTGCGCCCCCGTCTGCGCGTCGGGGACGAGGCACTTGATGTCCTGCACGCTTGGGCAGGGGCAGTCCGCGGGCGCAGGCACGCAGTGCAGCGTTGTTGGGCAGAGGTAGGCTGCGCAGGGGACTACCACCACATGTGCACAAAGAAGCGTTAGGACGACTCCGAGGGAAGGGGGTGGGAGAGAGGGCGCACCGGCGTCGGCCTGCGCTTGCCAGAGGGACTGCTGGCCACCGCCGGCGTGCTGCTGCGAGGGGTGGCCCTGCTGCCGCTGCTGCTGCTGGGTGTGAGAGCCGAAGAACTGGTCGAAGATGTTGAATTGGGCTGTGGCGAGGGGGAGGAGCAGCAGCGGGAGCAGTAGGTTGAGGGGGAGCGGGAGTGTGCGCGGTAGCATTGTGAGGACGATGCGAGGTGGTTGGGGGTGGGTGAGACTTGTCGACGTGGTCGAGAAGAGCAGGGTCAGGGTCCACGCTCCCCGTCGCCTTGAACGACCACACCATCTGTACGCTCATATGTCCGACCCGGTATTCAAGAAGCGCTCGCGGCCCACGAACGCAGGCAAGCGGCACCTAGGCGACTACGGCTCTGGCCCGTCCACGCCCGGGGCGGAGGGGACGCCGGAAGCGCGGGCCGAGGACGAGCGGACGGAGGAGGAGCGTCGGCTAGGGTGAGGATTTTGGCACAGCAATGCAATGCAGTGTGGCACGGGCACTGAGGTGGCCGAAAGGCCCTTGTAGGCTCGAGGACATTATTGAGCTGCGCAAGTACCGCCAGGGGGCGAGGCACCAGGGGATCGACTCGGGGAAGCTGGGCAAGGGGGAGAAGCGCAAGAGGAGGGAGGAGGACACGGCGGTGGAGGAGGAAGGGGGACTGAAGAGGCGCGAGTTTGAGAGCGAGGGGTGCGCCTGATCGCTACGGCGATATGCATGTGATGCTGATAATGGTGCAGGGATGCCGGAGAGGTGGACTCGATTGCAAAGAAGCTCAGGGCGAACAACTTTACGCAGCAGACGGGCGCGTTGGACGTCAACAAGCATATGTACGCGGCGGCGCATACATCCCTCTGGCATGGGCTAACGCGGATGCGCATGTAGGATGGAGTACATTGAACAAGAGCTGCAGAAACGCCGCGGGGACACCGGCCCAGCTGTCGTGGAGGAGAAGACGGGCGCGTATGACCCATACGCCCAGCTGTTCAAGGTCGACCCGAAGTTCAAGACTAAGTCCAGGACGGAGGAGGAGGAAGGGGGCGTGGCTACTAGTATGGCGATGCTTACGGCTATTCCCGAGGTCGACCTCGGCATGGAGTACGTAAATGGCGCTTTGGTAACGGACATGGTCGTGACGGTTGTAACAGAACGCGGTTGCGAAATATTGAAGAAACTGAAAAGGCGAAACGACAGGCCGCGGACCGAGCGCCGGTTAGGAAGCCCACCGAAGAGGACGAAGGGCTCGCGGCGTTGCGATGTGGGCCAATTCCACCGCCGGTCGAAGATAAACCGCTGACGAACTGTAACAGTCTTGCGCCGTACCAAGGAAGAGCAATCGCCTGCCATAGCGCTCATGAACGCGAGGTTGGAGGCGCAGGGATTTGCACCAACTCCGCCAACCAGGGCATCGCAGCCCAACAAACCGCGGACAGCCACGGACGACAAGGCGGTGGAGCGGTTCAAGCAGAGGATGCAGAAGTAGCCGGTGCGATCGGCGGTGGGCCAGTGCTACGCCGGTGCGGTTGTTATTACAGTGTATAGATACAGCAACGTGCCAAACAGCATGAGATCAACGAATTGAAAACGAGACTGCAAACGAGCACACCCAGACCGATCACTCGTTCGGGATGTTGTGCTCCTCTTTGAGCCTCTGCAACTCCCGTTCTCTCTGCTCGAGCTCCGCCTTCTGCGCCGCAGCTTCCTGTCGTGTTGGCATATGGTAGAGCACCACGATGTACCGCTCCTGGAGATGGAAGCCGTTCAAGTGGTCCAACGCGTTCTTTGCCTGTCACTGAGTCAGCTCGTCATTCACCTTGTAGTACAGGATAGTACGCACGTCCATAACATCATCATACACCACAAACGCCGTCCCTCTCGTCTTCTGCTCGTTCCCCAACCGTATCTGGCGGATGGTGCCGTACCGTCCGAACAGATCGTACAGGTCCTCGCCGGTGATGGTATAATTCAGATTCTTCACGAACAGGATGCGGTTCGCCCCCGGTGGAAGTTTGTTCTGAGGACAGGTCAGGGGGATCGGCGGGATGCGAGTAGGGTGCTTACTGCTGGGCGTGCTGCTACAGACATGGTGGTCGATGACTCGCAAGATTCGTCTAGCGCCGTCGCCGACACTTGCCTCTCATATTTCGCTTCCGTTGCTCCCTGAAGCTGATGATGATTGTTATCAGATAGCTTGTGCTCGACTCGGGAACTGTTTGGCCCCCGTGGCCTAATGGTTAAGGCGTCGGACTTCTAACTTATTGACATCCGAAGATTGCGAGTTCGAATCTCGCCGGGGGCTGCTAGTTTTGAGGACCTTTGGATCAACATCTTCCTTGCCTACGGGTGCAGTTGGCTCTTTCGTATGGACGACGTAGCGGTTGCGTGCACGTCGCTGACGTGTTTTCTCGTCCGACTGTTTGCCGCACTGGCGTCACTTTTATATTCCTTTTAGTCACAGGAGGAATATCCATGTTATTATATGTACAACTCGGTGACGACCCACATCATTGCAACGGAAGCATTCGGCGCGGGCTTGCATTCCTGTCCCTTGTCACTGCAGCACGCTGAACCGCGCATACGATCATCCCGTTCCAACATGGAGGACGATCCGTTCGACGCGTCCGTGTGGAGCACCAACGCTGCAAGCACATCAAAAGCCTCTGAAGAACCTGCACCTACCAAAGAAACACCTTCCGATACTATAGCATCCCTAGTTGAAGATGGCGATGGCTTCGACGACTTCGACGACTTTGGCGCGCCTGCTGCTCCCATCGCTGACGGGGAAGCGGCGGATTTCGGGGACGATTTCGGAGAATTCGGGGAGACGATAGAGAGCGAGACTGTGACATTCGTGCAGGATGAACCAGTTGAGCCAGCTCCGCCGACCGACCCGACAGAAGGCCTACCCCCGGCAATCGTACTCGATCCAATGCCCAGCAGGGAGGAGCTCGAGCGGCAGATCGACGCGCTCGTAGCCCCGATCTTCCCAATCGATACTGGACAGTTCTCGGATGAGCCGATACGAGAAGTCAATGGGATTGGGCAAATGCTGGTCACAAAGGGGAGGTATGTGCGCTGTCCTCCATCCTTCGTTCTCGACTGAACCGAGCCGCAGTCGGGATCTGTACCGCACGCTTACTGAGATACCCCCGGATATGACACGACCTGTCAACTGGACAATATCACGAATACGAAGACAGCAGCTGATTGCCCTTGGTGTGCCCGTTAATCTGGACGAGGTGCGTGCTTGTCTTGCATTTCGCACCTCGCGCGCGGCATTAACCATTAATCCAGGTGTTACCAACGTCAACCGCCAAACCGCTACCCACCCTACATATAACCACCGATCCCACCGGGCGTCCCGCATCAGCTCCCCCGGGTCGACCATCCACTCCAGCTGGTCTGTCCTCTCGCGCCGCCACCCCTGGCCCCGGACATCGGACGCCAAACACCGGACCACCTCCCCTTGGACCAGCGCCCAAGCTCGATATGGACAAAGCCGAGGACGTGCTTCGTTTGTCCGAATGTGAGCATCCTCGATCAAACCTAAGCGACGGTGCTGTATGCTAACTCCGTACCAGCGCAAATCTCTATCCTTCCGCTCTCCGCCGTTCAGTCACAATTGGCGGAGATCCGCGCAGTGACAGAGCAGGCAAACGCGTTGCTTGCCCATCTCCTTCAGAGCCGGGACGTGCTGCAACAAGACTCGGAGACGTACAACAATTTCATCGCGGAGCTCGTCGGCGTGGCGCAGAAGGCAAAAGCACCGGCGGTTAACCGCTGGGGGCGGAGAAAAGAGAAGTCGTCGTCGATGATGTCCTCGTAGATTTGAGACATTTGTATTCTTATTGTGCAATCACAGCATATATTACCGCAATAACCACCGGTTCTACCCGCACCAGTGGTATTCGCTCACACCTGACGTCTCCGCCTTCTCCGCCTTTCTCCCGTCGCCGCTCGTTCGCGTCCGCTGCATTCCAAACCGTCGTTGTTTCCCATTTCGCCGCCAATGGGAATGATCTCCAGATAGGGGTACGAGAAGTTCTCGGAATCTCAAGATGCCAGCGCGGCAGCCAGATCGGAATCTGACTGCAGGTCTTTCCCTCGTACGTCTGTCATCCTTGAAATCATGTCTGGCCGGACCGACAAGGGCAAGGCAAGAGCCGCAGTCGCCGACCCGGATGTCAAATATAGGGAGCGCTATTATGAGCTCAAGAAGCAGGTTCAAGAAATCGAAGCGGTAAAACTTTGACCGGCTTGACGTGACATGCAATGCTCATGCTGGGCAGGACAATGACAGCATTCACCTGGAAATTTTGAAAACGAGACGGAACATCCAACGCGTTCGTATGGAGCGGGCGTAGGTCAACTATTATGGAGCTCGTACACCGTGGTGACAATCTGAACCAGCATCTTACTTGAACGGTTGTCGGTTATGCCTGATTTACCACCGGAACCGCTTCTGCATGCAAGAGGGTTGCAATCGAGTGATGAAATTGCACCGACCGCGGCGGCATTGCAGGCGTTAGTGAGAGAGGTAACCGTTAACTATGGAAATTTGCAGTGATATATCCTGAGAACGTTCACAGGGATTTGCAGGGGGTATACATGGTAATCCGCCAATATCAAACGGCTCGCACACAGCTCCGCGTACCGCCGACGAGGAACCGGTATCGACGAATGAGCAGGCAAGCGGTGGTACGTTGCAGCCGTATCCACCCCTTCCACCACCGGAGCTACCGGAGCCATCGTTGCTGCCTGCATTCCATCTTCGGCACCAGTTGGAAACGCAGCCGACGCAACAGCCCCTTCCACTTCCACGACCACAAATGACTTCCAACGCCGGTGTAACTCGTACAACCGGTTCGCAGATTGCCTTCGGTCCCCCCGCTCCGGCCAGGATCGGGTGATCTTCGTCATGGTATCCACAGATATGATGATCTCATCTCACATATGATCGATTAGTGTCTTGATATTGCGAGGGTGCCCAGAATGTAGCATACACGAGCATGATTGATACAAAGTGAAGATGACCTGGAAACCAATCATGTACGCTGAGGCGGCATTGGAACGATGCCATATTCCCGCTTGAATGTCGAAAACTCTTCCTCTCTCTTCTTATACTGCTCCACTAGGGTCTGCAGTACCTTTTGAATCTGTGCGCGCGTGAGTCTATAGGCAACATCATGAATTTCGGAGAGCCTACCCCGTCGCGGTTTGTCTGAAGGGCAGGCAAAATGTCTTGGACCGTCCGCTCCACGAGAACGCCGCCGATCATACGAAAACACGGCCGACTTGGGTTCGTCTCATTGACCTCCTTTAACGTTTGCAGTACCAATCTTCATAACGGTTTAGCGATTTCAAAAGAAAAGATGAAATGAACTGACTCATGCTCTTCTGCGTCGGATTCAAGTTCACCAACTTTTTCAGCTAACGACTGGATCTCTTGCTGATAACGCGAGTACCCGGCCTGTATCTCTGGAATGCGATTGAGTCGTAATACTATTGTGTATTCAGGGCTCTTCACCTTGATCTGTCAAGCCTTTCTTCACTGACTTCGACATTGGCTTGCGTTATGCTTTGGTGCAACCCGAAACAAGCCGGAGGCAACAAGGCGAACTGACGGTACGGATGCATTTGGAAGGGTCAATCCCAATTCTGTGATTCCGATTGGCCCTGACAGCGGCTCCGTCGTTCTTTAACCCTTCCTCGTCGTCGACAACCCTCCCTTCCCAAGTGCGGCCATGTCGCTCAGCCCCGTACGCGCAATCGTGCTCCGGCGCCTTGCAGCGCCTCGTGTACTTCCTGTACGAGCATTCTCAAGTGCGCCATTCAGAGCAGCGGAACAGTCTACCGCCAAGCCATCAACCAGCCCGCACAAGGTCGAGACGGACGGTGCATCGAGGTCGGCAAGCTCGCTCAAAGACCTCGGCCCCGGTGCTGCTCCCTTGTACCAAAGTCCATACGCCGGCGGCCCTTCGGCTTTGGACAAGGCTGCCGATCTCTTCTTCTTTACGGAGATCGTCAAGGGTATGCATGCCTGCTTGGTTGCATGATGTTGTTCTGACGGCGCGTCAAGGGATGTGGATCACCCTCGAAAACATGTTCCGGCCACCGTATACCATCATGTGCGCGGAGTCTTGACAGACAGCTGCATATATCTAACTCTTCCATAGGTACCCGTTCGAGAAGGGACCGATCAGCCCGCGATTCCGAGGAGAGCACGCTCTTCGACGGTACAGCAATGGTGAGGAGCGCTGCATTGCTTGCAAACTCTGTGAAGCCATCTGCCCGGCCCTCGCCATCACAATCGAATCGGAAGCTCGTGAGGATGGCTCGCGTAGGACGACACGGTATGACATTGACATGACTAAGGTGCGTACTGTAATCAACACATGTTGTGCGAGATCCTGACACGTCCCAAAGTGCATCTACTGTGGATTATGCCAGGAAGCGTGCCCTGTCGATGCCATCGTAGAGAGTGCGTTACACTAATCACTGCATGGCAGACGTCCTCTGACACATGTACAGCTTCCAACTACGAGTACTCTACCGAGACTCGCGAGGAGCTCCTCTACAACAAGGAGAAGCTTCTTGCGAACGGCGACAGGATGGAGCCAGAAATTGCTGCAAACATCATGGCCGATCATGTGTATCGCTAAACTGTTTGGCCTGTGTTGCTACAGCAGGCCAACATAATACAATATGCGCTAATGTACAATGTGTGGTATCATCATCGGAAAAAGCCTCGGATTTGTTGGGCAACCTCTTCAGGTGTCGCGCGGATATATTTCGAAGGATCTGAACAGCACTATCAGGTTTACATGCCAGCACCTGAAAGCGAAGTCATACTCTTCGTGAAATCGGCAGCCTGGTGGCGGGACGAGAATCTCTGGAATGCGGGCATGACCAGGTTGTTCACCTCCTCGGCCAGCTTTTCCCTGAGTTCTGCGTCCTGCTTGTTGAGCGGGAACGCTTGATGTGTAGTTGCAACTTCGGCGAGGCCGTCAAAGAACCCAGTCCACTGATCTTTCACCACTTGTCTGCTTCCCTTCCCCTCACCGAGGTTGGAGAGGAGCGGTGACCAATTTGCCTCGAAATACGAATTCTTCGCCTGTCGGAATGCTGCGTTGAGCGCATCCTGTGACTGGGCGGGCAGCAAGTCATCTATTGCCGAGCGGGGATTGAGCAGGATATTGGTGCGGATATAGGATAAGTTGTTCAGCATGAATATGGATCCCGTCTGAGCGCGTTTCAATGCTCTTGCACGACCCTCAAGCGCTCTGATCAGGATAGTCA